CGAAATACGTTGCCTCTGGAGCACAACGGCCGCATGCTAATCCATATCGGCTTGACGCACACATACACCATACACCGTACAGAGGAAAACACACACACAGAGTGAGAGAAGGATCACATGCAAACATATTATATGTATTTATGATATGGATTCACATATGACCCCGGTAAAAAAACACAAAAAAACAAAAATAGTTAGGGTGCCACACACAAAACGCCCGACCAGTACCTAACACATATCATCTGCACCTTCCCAACATAACATATATGAGACACACAAGACAGCTACCTAACTGTCTTGTTGAGCCTGTTACCCGCAGGGGAGATGTGCCTATATGCTGTCTGGGAAATCGTACACATAAAGGTACTTTCTGACGCTATGAATCCATTGCTAATCTGTCTCAGACTCTTTTTTTTTTTTTTCTATGATAGAGATGGTTTCGTTGTGTCATATTAAGAAAAATAAAAAAATAGTTGTGTCTTATTCTAAGAAAAAAAAAAATACAGCCAAACGAAGCAGCAAAAAAAAGTGTGATTATCATTAATATTGCGGACGCGGATACGCACATCTTCAAAAGGCATCGAATGTTGAATGTACTGTACCCTCACAGCAAGTATATCGAGCCCAACGAGCACATCGCCCGCCACAGAAAACGTCAACCATAACAGCGTAGATACAGTATAGCGGGACAGATAGGTGCGGCAGGTGCACATCTAACCCGCCGCAGCCAATGATCTCAAGCCTGCCGAACTTCCCCGATACGGAGTGAGCAGTCTTACCTAATGATACTGCAACCACGCAAGTTGCGTGCCATATGCAATACTGCTGTAGATCTACATGTGTCCGATCTCTCAGCGAGCAGCTGGTATGCTTGGACCCAAGCAACGGCAACCACCCGCTATCAATGTAGGAGCACATGGCGCATGACCATATACCCACGACCGTGCGGTGGAGGACGTATGGGCTAGGCTTCCGCTGTTCTTGTCGATAGCTGGCCTGGATGTATGTGCGGAGGATACAGATGCTCGGGGTGCTTTGCAAATTTTGCTTGCAATTTTTTCCATCTGGTTGATCTGGTCAAATATGGCGACAATTTTTGGCAAAACATATTTAGAGGAAATGATGTACAGAGTATACGCACCGGTGATGGTCTTGATGGGGAACGCTGCCACCATGGCGAGGCCCAGGAGCGTAGAACTAGCGGGGAGCTTCATGGAGATATACCGAAGCAGGTGAGCGCTGACAAGATCCAAACGTCTGTTTCACTGGTCTCACAGCAGTAGCAGCAAGCAGCAGCTCCGAGTAGACCGATCGATGCGCAGTGCAGTTGCTGGTGTCCTTTGAGAGGTTGTGTGGACGAGGAAAAGCGAGGAAGTGCGCATGTGTGGAAGATGGGAGAGCGCGTGACTTTTCGATATTGGTTGCGTTAAAAAAATTGTGGTGCAACTTGGTGCAACGAAGTGCGACGTCCTGTACAGTCTGGGGAAGGTTCTGGGAATATCATTTGTGGCTCCCCTGTTACATACAGTATACGGAATATCTATCTCGAAGAACGACATGTCTGTTGGACACTCCGTCGCTTCTGGGGAACATATGTTGTATGGTTGAGACCATGACTTGAGAGACAGGTTAGCAAAGAAAGTGGAGTGGGCGTAGGTAGCGAGCACCGCAGCACCAGCCATGTCGCTCGACCAACGCAAAAAACTGCAACACAATACCGGAACACAATACCGGAACACAATGCTTGAACAGGTGAACAGGGGCTAGCGTACTTTCACAACGAACCATGAATCTTTTGGCAAATTTTTAATGTACCGGGACAGAGCTTTTAGGAATTTGATTACGCGGGCGAAGCCCGCCAATAAACGGTGAAACCCATCATTCATCTGCGAGCCAACGCTAATCTTTTGGCTGACGCACTTGACATATTTCAAACTCGAGATTCCTGGATTATTTGACTGGATTGTTGGGATTCCCGGAAATTTGAGTTTGAAATACCGCGCGGAGATTCCCGAACCATGGGTCGGGAATTTCCGGCTGGATCTACCTTGTTCCCGAATAAATATTCTGAGGGGTGTTTTGGCCCGATTACAAATTTATTCAGGAAGGATCTTTAGCTTTTTGTATCTCCACCCGTGACAGAAGGGAGGGACAGCTCGCACGACGGTATAACAACCGCACGGACACCGACTGCTACCACTCGAACAGCTACCAACGTGCAAGCTTGCTAGCCAGCGCGGCTTCTACCTCGGAGGCTAATCCACCCCTCTGTCCTCCTGTTTTAAGATATATCACAGATGGTGCATCACTCCTCGTCTCTGCATCAACACCCTCTTCTACTAGACTACAGCACATCAGCACAGCAAAAAACACCGCAACTCGTCTTGAAAAACCCAACGGCTCCGCCGATCAGCCGCTCCCTCAAGGTGTTCGCAGCTGGCAATCTCGCTCAGACGCAAAGAACGGCAGAGGACGGACACAAAACCTAGACCCGCATCCCCAGAGCTTTGACACCGCTCACACGCAAGTATAATATGTTGGTATGCATAGCTTCATGAATCTCTCATCCAGTTATTATGCATCGATCCTCTGCTGTTGTCGCGCAAGAAGCGGTTGTGGTGTGTTTTTTCTTTCCAAAGGCTCTTCTCCGCTTGGTGACATAAGTATGCATACATCATAACCATCGACCGTGAGAATGCCCTCCTGAAAGGTGCATGGTAAACTGGGGCATGAGTGGCTAGGGTGTGCGTGTCTGGTGTGTGTGCTTTGTGTTGGCAGCGAGCCGTAGCTGCCTGTTCATGTGTTCATCATCCTGTTCATGCATTCATTCATCTTTGAGAATATTAACCTCGGAACAGCCATACTGTAGACTATATCAAGGCCTCCCCGTTCAACGCGTTTGAAATAAAAATTGGATTTCCACGGAGATTCCTGAACCATGGTTTGGTTTAAAGGAGGGGAAGCCGTGGGTGGTAGCTTGCTCCTAGAGATAGATGAAGGTAGGTTCTGTCGTTGACACGCTTGTCCACGATCACGTAGAGATGAGAAAGTTGCTTGTTATTGCTGAGAGACGATCAGCAAGGGTCTGAGGTGAAGTGGGGATCCAACTTCACCTCAGGGGGGCACGCAGACTAGACAAAATCCTAAGAGGGTAGGTGTCTGAAGGGTATACCTCCTGAGACCGACCCACATCCTATCAACAATAAGATGTACCCTATTTAAGCTAGCAGCCACACTCCTTAACACTAGCCCACCCTGAATATCATATATGCAGATTCTATACTCAAATCAATGCTCAACTCCTAAAAGCTACAACGAAGATTTTAGCTGACGATTGATGCTCATGAACCGAAGATATGACTCTTCACAAAACATCCAAAAAGGAGGGTGAGTTGTAGAAACATCCCGAATCAACCCCCACACCATCATTGAGACGAAAGATGGATGCGAACGGCCACGAAACGACACATCGACATCTCCATGACAACGCTCCTATCAATGAAGGGATAAGGCCAAGAAAAATATGTAGTGCTGCACAGCACGCTATCCGCAACAGACGACGGCAAGAGAAATAAAGTCAAAACCTAAACGCCACACACCACTCGTTTACGCGCACCCGCGCGTATAACAATGGGAGGAATGAGGGCGACGACCCGAGAGAGCCCCAAAATGCTGCAACAAAACTCAAAACCCAAGCAAAATTTCCGAACGAATACGGCCTTTGATACTGGACGCGACGTAAAGGGGAAGATATCAACGCAACCAATCTAGGAAAGCGTCAAAGAAGAGCAGGAGAAATGAATGACAGGCGAACACACTGACAACAATTTCCAGAGTGTCAGAGAACTCAAACCGTATAGAGAGGCGGCCACGGCAAGACCTGATGAAAACCAAGAATGCAAAGCATGAATGATCAACGTCTGAGAAGCGATCTGACGAACTTTCCCTGGCGCGCGGGCAAAGCACAACACAGGAAGACTCAGATAACACAGAAAAATCGCAGAGATACACACAACAACACAACGACTCAAGGGCTCGACGATGATGAAGGCGTCGCCGGCAGGTAGCGATGACGGAGACGAAGTGGAACGAAGTGTGGACGACGACGAATGTCCACGGGAGAAGACGACGCCACGGGATGGAAGCCCGAAGTAACAAGCCTAGATGACACTTCGGCGATACGGTGGAGCTAAAAAAAATGAGTTGGCGAAAGGCGAACCCAGGGAAACACGAGAAACTCGGGGTTTGCCTGGTCAGAGGCGAACATACCGACGAAACTTGGAGAACTCGTTGTTGAAGTGTTCAGAGGCAAACAACACCGACGAAACTTGGGGAACTCTTTTTCCAAGTGTTCAGAGGCAAATAACACCGACGAAACTTGGGGAACTCTTTTTCCAAGTGTTCAGAGGCAAACCACTCGAAGAAAACAAGAAGGAAAAGAAAAAAAAAAAAAAAAAAAAACGAACAAACAAACAAAATCCAAGATAGACCAGCTCGAACCTAAAACGGCGACGCTAGGAAGAGATATTGGGAACAGCCGACGGTAAGGAGTCAGTAATGGGAGGAGTGCGATCCCGGGCGTCGCCCAAAGGGCGCGAGCGATGTTTTTCTAAACACCACGATCCACAGACGGCGTCCAAGGCGGTGGAGTAGAGGTGCGCAGGCAGAGGGAGAACGCTGGGGCCCGGGTCATCCAGAAATCGAACGATGTACGAGCCATCCTGATGAGCACCAATACGTCCTGTCCACCATAATCCGTCGCGGGCCTTGTACCACAGCCGCGCTCCTACTGGAAGGGGCGAAATGCTGAATCGACGGAGCCAAGTCGCGTGAAGCACAAGGTCAGCCCCAGGAGGCAAATAGCGTTCGCCACGATTCCGGGCGAGCTCCCGTTGTGCCGCGCGTGTCCGAGCCACTCGATACGTGCGGTTACCCTGCTTGCTTTGGCAGACCTCTCGAGACCAGTACAAGAGGATGTGTCGACGGAATTGATCGAGGTCGGACTCCCGTTCCCAAGAAGGAGTAGTCAGGCCTAGCCAATGCGTCTGGTACAGGACAGCGAGAACGCCGCTACGGCCCCGCACCAATTGGTGTCCCGAAATGTAGTCGACCTCGAGGCGCCCGACAGGCACCGACACATCATCCGCGGTGACGTGAAACGGTGGACATTTATCGCCGAAAGAGTGCAGGACATAACGCGAAAGCTCAGCGGGTAGAGATTGGGGCAGGTCGTCCTTCTCGTACGGATTGCGACAGGGCTTGCAACGAAGGACAGATACGCGACATCGAGCTGCTGGGCCGGAAAGATCAGAAGGCAGGTCCAGGTAGAGGAGTTTACGCGCCAACGGGCTTCCATCTGGGGTGGCGTCGGCCGACGCGGGACCCACCGCAAGAACTTTGTAAGGCCCCGTCCAGGAAAGCGCGAATTTGGCCTTGAGCACCTGGTGATCCGTGTCGTTCCGCACACCCTGTCGAATTGTAGCAGCCGTGTTGTAGACCCAAGCCCACCCGCCAACAGTAAATTGCGGGAGCTTGTGGATGGCGTCCAGCAGGGATGAATTACGGCGTTCGACTCGCGAGATCTTCAGGGCGTTGTACTCACGGACCAGGTCGTAGGCCCGGCGCTGACGATCGACAGCCAAGTTGCAGTACTCGAGTTGGGATGACCACCTACCGTTGGATGATCGAAGACCGAAAGCGGAAGCCGCGGAATGCGTCCGATATGGATCTCGTTCGGCGCCAATCCAGTCGACTGGTTCACGGAATTGTTGTAGGCAAATTCAACGTGCGGGAGATGTATGTCCCAATCGTTTTGCTGTTCGTTGACGACTACCGCAAGCATCTGAGCCATCGTGTGATTGACGCGTTCCGTGCCGCCGTTGGTTTGCGGGTGGTAGGAGCTGGTGGTGACTTTCTTGATTTTCATCATCTCGTAGATCGCCATGGAGAGCTTCGAGCAAAATTGCAGTCCGTTGTCCGACAATAACGTAGTCGGACATCCCCACTTGGTCATGTACTGGTTGACGAAGATGTGAGCCGTCCCTTTCGCCGTAAATTCCGCCGCTGTAACCGCGAACATGTCGGCTCTCCGGCTGAAACGGTCTGTGAACAATAGAATGTAGGAGTTGCCCTTGGCAGTCACGGGCAGGGGGCCGAAGAAGTCGACGCCGACGACCGTACCAGGCCCCTGTGGCAATGGCATAGCGATGACGGGCCACCGAGCGGTTTGACGCGAAGTCTTGCGAGCTTGACACACCAAACACGCGCGAAGCCACCAGCGTACGGATCGATCCAGACCAATCCACCAGTAGAAACGCTCAAGCAGACGTTGTGTACGATGAACACCAAGATGGAAGGACGCGGCGATATGGCAGG